ATTCTTATAAGCCACTAAGAATTTGGGGAGTTGTTTGTTACATGGCATTACTGAAGCAGAAACCTGACTGATACACTTATCTATATCCTGCACTAGATTACAAGCTCTATATAGAGAAGAAAGAACTGTATTTCCAGCTTTGAGCACAGGATTTAGCACACTGTAGTTGCTTAATAAATGTTCGTGATTGGATATATGATTAAGTGAACAATCAGGCCATTGACAGGTCTGCCTCTCCAGCAAGAATTGAATTCCTTAAAGCCAAGAATGGCATCCGATTTCTCTCAACAGTACCTAGCTATCTCACTTGCCACATTGGGCTCTTGGTAAGTATTCAACAAATATTTGTTGAAATTAAATAAATTGAATTTTGTGGGCTGGCTTGGGAATCAATTCTTAATTTATGACATTGTTTCTATGGGAAAATGCACTCTGCGTGCCAAACAAACTTGCAAATGAACTTTTGGAACCTCACCCGATCATTGGTTCAGGATTGCCAGTTTTGTGGAAATCCATAACTGAACACATGTGCTGTGCTTTGCAATATGGGAGAAACTGAGAAACTGCTTCCAAACCCAAGATATTCAGCCTGCAAAAATTCACTTTCCACCCACATGCACAAATTCAGCACAGGTTGGATTTGAAGTTCCAACAATAAAATACTAGACTTTTTAGAGCTCATTGTTTACCTAATTGCTTTTTATCTTGCTTATACTGGGTGCCTATTCTTAACGCTGGATCAAAAGGAAGTTAAGATGGTTTTCTAGCCCCCCCCCATCCACTTTCTAGACATGTATACAAGAAAGTTCAACCTTCTCAACAGAGAAAATAAATTATTTTTCTAAATAAATCTGTGACATTTAAAATAAACACAGCTCTACAGTTATAAGAAAACATCCCCCTTTAGAATTCCTAAGTTTGAATGGTACTGGGAGCTCAACATGAGTCACAGATCTGAGGCTTAGTTTCATTTCATCTTGGGCCACAACCAAGTGATCTGACGTGGCTGTGAAGGGCCACCATCACTCCATGATTTCAGAATAGTTTCTAATACTTAAGGCACAGGGCTCAAACTGCCATTGACTCAAATCGATCAATCACTCAATCTACTTCACTCATTTAACATGTTTTTTGAGCACATTATGCTACATTACACATTATGCTACATTATATACACAATGTATTATGTATACATATACATTATATACATATACATAATGTAGCATAAAGGGAGAGGCAGAGAAATACCTTTCAACAAAGGGAGAGGTAGAGAAATAGGGCCAGTCGGGTGAGGTGGTGCGCATCTGTAATCCTAGCAATTCGGGAGGCTGATGCAGGAGGATCGCAAGTTCAAGGCCAGCTTGGACAACTTAGTGAGACCCTGTCCCAAAATAAGAAAATTAAAAGGGCTAGGGATATCGCTCAGTGGTATAGCACCCTTGGTTTAAATCCCCAGTACCACAATCAACAAAAAGACAAATAAATAAATGAGAAAGAGAGAGAAAGAAAGAAAAGAAGGTCACAGTGATGGGCCATGGAAAAAAATAAAAACAATGTATGTAAAGGGAGGCTACTTAAGATTGGGTAGTCAGGGGAAGAGAGATGTGTGTACTAGGATCAGGTAGTCAAAAAAGGAGCCAGCCATGGCAAAACCTGGGGGAAGAACATTCTAGAATGAGGAAACAGGAAGTTCAAAGGTTCTGGGGCAGCAACATGCTTGGCATATTTGTAGTTCCAAAAGCAAGTCAATGTGGCCAGGGTAGAGTGACAGAAGGAGGGAGTGGCATGAGAGGTCAGAGAAGCAGTGAAAGACCAGATCACATGAAGCCTTGTCTGAAGTGAGGGAGCTGAACTGAGCCCGAAAATGCAAAGCCAGGGGTGGTTATTAAGCTGGGGAGTGGTACCTGGGTTTTAAAAGAGCTGCTCTTCTTGGAGAGAACTGGGACAGGGCAGGGGCAGTAGGAAGCAGTCTTTTCTAGAAGCTGCAACTCCAGAACAGCCCACGTGCTTCAACTTCTTCTCTGACCGCTCCTTTCACCTTTGGATCTTACTCAAAAGCAGCTCCCCCGATGAGGACCCAGCCTCCCCATCCCCTCGGGGGCTGGCTGCTTCCTCTCCCTTGTGGAGGGTGTCCCACTGGAGTCTCACGGCCTCTTCTCTCTTTCTAGCCCACCCCCAGCCTCAAAGCCCTGCCAGCAGACTCCACCCTGCACCACTCCTTGTGGTCCCCATCCACAGACCACCCGTGCCGGGCCACTTCCCTCATTCCTTGACTACTTAGCTCTTGGCTCTCTTCAACACGGTGCCCACCCTCCTTCCCAATGACTGCAATTTCCACACAGGGGACTGATCCATAGAACACTTAGTGGTGACCCTTTCAGATCCTTGACCCCTCTCTGCCAATGATCTCATCTTTAACCCTACTTCGGTGACACAGCCTTCTCCTAGATCTTGTCATTACCCATGACTGCATCCCACCAAGACCTCAACCTTGAGCCCACACCCCCCCCCGCCACTGTCCAGCCCCTACTTGATTTCTAGTTCTCCAACCACAGTCTCCAACGCCTTTCACTTCCTTTGGCCCCAGTGCATCCATCTCCCCTCCTCAGCATCAGGGTCAATATCCATCTCGACATCAGCATCCATGCGTTCCATGTTCCCTCATATGTTGGCCCCATGCCTCTGGCTCCGCTTCAAAGGCAAGACCACCAATGAATGTCAAGGGGGCTCTAATGCTGCCAAGCAACCATGCTGTATTTCCCTACTCTGTTCTCTGCCCCATTTTCTGTTTCACTCCCCTTTCCTCTTTCCTCAAACCCCCAGAGCCTCCTCCCCCACTTTGCCGTCACTGGTCTAAAGTCACTGAAGACAATGTGAAGACAATGCACTGGCTTCTGCGCATTCCTGTACCTAGGCTCAGCTCCTCACCTTCCCTCCCATCACCAAGGATGAACTGTCCATGGTGCTGTCTGAGGCTGACCTCCCTGCAGCACCCGAGGTCATATTTTCTGTCATCTGCTGAAAAGACAACATTCTACCGGAATTCCCCCAACAGCGCAAAAATGTACTCTCAGTTCATGTATCTTTAAAATTCTCCGAATTCCACAATCTCCTCTAGTTTCTCTTCCATTTTTTTTTTTTCCTGGTACCTGTCCCACTAAAGTTCCTCTAAGGAGTTGTCCCTGCTCTCGGCCTTCTTTTCTTCCCATTTTCTTTCATAGCTTTAGCATCTCCCCAAACACAGACTTCTGTCACAGTCACCAACCATCACCTGATACGTACAATGGGCCAATTCTCCCGGGGACCTCTTGGCAGGGTCTGGCACAGTAGATGGCTCCCTCCTCCTTCTCCTGGGCTTGCAGAGACCACTCCCTTCCATTTTCCCTCTTCTCTTTCTGTCTGCTCCCTCCTCATTTCCTTTTCTGTTTCCCTTCTTCTCCCCAACCCCTAAACATTGCTGAACCTCCATGCTCAGTTCTCGAACTTCTCTCCCCAATCTACACTCCCTTGTGGGTCTGCATCTGTAACTACCATTTGTCATACCACCAACTACCAAATTCCTGTCACCAGCCCCAGACCTGAGTTTGTCCAGCAAATAGTCACCATCTACATGTGGTTTTTTAATCCCCACCACCATCACCAGCATCACCAAATTATCTGCTGCATGGAGCTCTACAGATAGAGAAAGGCCCCCTAAATGGAATGGATCTAAAAGATTATGGCAAGACTGCTTCAGTCTTGTGTGGAATGATAAAATGCTGGCCACGATCTGTTAATTTCTTAAACTCTAGTCTTGGGCAAACGATGAGAAGAAAGGTTCCTACCCAATTACAATTATTCATGAGAATTTTCCTGGGCTGCTTCTTTTGTCTGCCAGTGACTCTTGACAGAAACAGCCCGGTAAAGGAGCTATAGCAAAAGGGGAGGGCGGTCACTTGTCTGGTGGCTGCTTGGATTGTGACTTCCTCCATGAACTCTTAATTAATTCCATCCCCATATTTTTAGTTTCTTCCCTGAACCGCTAGCTTACATGATCTTCCCCTCTCTCCCTTCATTTCTCTTGGCTTCCTCCTCCATCATCTCCCCAATTTGCTTCCTGGGCCTCTTTTCTCTCCCCAGCTGCCCCCTTGTTCAGCCCTCAGCATCTCTCCACCTGCTTGACTCTTTCTTATCCCTTTTCACCTTTCAAAACGGAAAGCACCAAACTGACAGACACTGTTATACGTTTTATTTCCCCCCCCCTTTCCTGCATGAGCTGCAGCTAAGGCTCTCTCCCTCTTGCTTCTATAGCAAGCGCAGAGTACTGGGTTGCCATGGCAACAGCGGATCCAACCAGGCTGGTCCCAGGGACGCTAAGAACTGCCGTGGTGAGGAAGCCGCTCCAAGTCGCCCCTGAGCCTAGATGGGTCGTGTACATCGTAATTCAAGACCAGGCTAGGCAGATTCTGCCTGGAGACCAAGATTGTACATCAGGCCCACGGCTGTATGGTGCACGAGGAGACAACGCCATCAATAATAAAGCTTCCACCGGGTGCACAGAATACATGACATGATGAGGATTCATTTGAAAATTTTCAAACATCCCTATTCTTTTATCTTCTCCAAGGGAGAACCTTCTCTCTCTCTCTCTCTCTCTCTCTCTCTCTCTCTCTCTCTCTCTCCTCTCTCTCTCCCCCTCTCGAGTCTCGGGGAACTCTCTAGAAAGTAAGAGCTGATCTGCCTGCTCTGGCTTCTCCCTCATGATGCTGCACATCCTCCCCCTCTTCCCTCCCCCCCTCCCAATTCAGTGGCCGGGAGTGGCCCAGGGCAAATGGCTTGGTAGCACTGACATGGCTGAAAGCATCTTCTGGGATCAATGAGGGTTGCACCATGAAATTTCAGTTCTGGAAGAGATCTGTCCCCCCAGGTTACCGGAACGGATGGTTAAAGTAGGGCAACAAGTGTCCTGCTGAATAACACTCTTGAAAAGGCACCTTAGGGAGAAAGAATTCAGGAAATACCTTTGTAGTGAATGGCACCAACCGCAGTGGGGGTCTGCTGCTGTTAAGCACTCTGAACAGGATTTATGTTTACTGCAGTTTGCAACACGAATTCTCCTCACCTAAAAATAAAGACGACAGTGGTTCAGATGGAATTATAAGCAACACCCCCCCCCAAAAAAAGAAAGAAACCCCAACCCTATAACACCTTATCTGATGAAAGCTACAAGAGTGTATTTATCAACTTGAACTCTGAATGTCTCCACAATGGTACCAGGCGACAGGTCTCAAGTTCTAGGATAGGATGCAGTTGTGTAAAATCACCTGGGGAGCTTTTGAAAGTATGTACGGTGAGCCCTCTGCATCTGCAGATTCCTCATCCATGATTCTCAGATTGGAAACATATGGAAAAAAAATGTGTCTGAATGGGGCGTGGTGGCACGTGCCCCCCCCCCCCCGTAATCCAAGGAGCCCTAAGCAACTTAGAAACTGTCTCAAAACAAACAAACAAAAAATGTTTAAAAAGGGCTGGGGATGTGGCTCAGTGGTTAAGCACCCCCAGGTTCAATCTCCAGTTCCACCTTTTCCCCCAAAATGTGTCTGTATGTGTTCAGTACAATTTTTTTCTCATAATTATTCACTAAATAATACAGTATAATATCTATTTGCATAAGATTGACATTATATTAGGCGTTGTAAGCAATCTAAAGATGATAAAGTATATGGAAGAATGTGCGCAGGTTTTATGCAAGTTCTATACAACGGACTTGAGTAGTCGTGAATTTTGGTATCCCAGACGATTCCTGGAACAAATCCCTGGAAGACACGGAGGGATGACTAATTCCCAGACTTCCCTGCCACTGAGATTCTCACCACGTCTGAGGATGGAGCCTAGGAATTTGTGTTGAGCTCTTCCAAGTGAACCTGGCCTGTGTCTGGGTTCCTGATGGGCTAATGATGATTTCCACAGGAATAACGGAATCAGATCACCTGGTTTCCATTCAGGAACAGTCGGTGTGTGATTGATGGCATTTTGGAAATAAGCATTTGGGAACAGCAACTGGCTCTGCCCCAGAGGATCAGCATGATGTTGGTACTGGATATGGAAACGTGGAGGTCAAGATAGCTCCCACCCTCTCCACTGGGGGTGAAAATAAAAGAAAGAGGGAAGTATTCAAAGTACTTCCCTGCTCTTAAAGCTGTGTCTCCTGTTGTCAGGACACAGCTGCCCTCAGAGTGGCCTATACTGGGCAGACCCAGGCAGCTGAGATACCTTGTCAGAGGCTCTGAGCACCTGAACGTCCCATGGCATATTTTTGAAGTCAAATACTGCAGTAAGTAGTAAGGAAACTTGTGGAGCTCATTATGCTAGGAGGCTGTCCATGCTGAACTCATAAGTAACTACCCAAGATGAGAGAAATGAAGAGTTCTAGAAGGGGTTCACAAGGGAAACGGAATATCCTGAGGAGGCTCTCTCAGTAGCAGGGTGACTTCTTGGAGGACAGCTACACCCTTCCATTGCCTGGTGCTCCACCCGGCTGACAGATGCAGCCCACCATGTCTGAGCCAGAATGAACCAGAATATGGATATTTCCTTGTCGCTCACAAAACATCTTTTAATTCTGAGGGGGCTCTGATAAGTGTCATGTAACTGCTCCAACTTTGCTTCCTCATCTGTAAAATGGTGATGGTACAACCTACTTTGTGAGGTTACCACAGACACTGTCTGGTGATACTAAATAAAATGCATCATAAATATTGGCTATGGATATTATGTAAAAAAAAGGGTTCTATCAACAAATTCGAAGACATAGACTAAAAAGTTAAATAGGTTTCCTTAGCACAGCCTTCTGAGATCCTTAACTATGCTGAGCACCATGGGTGTACAGGAGAGAGAGTGACAGCTGATCACAGGACCACTTCCACTCAGAACATTCAGTGGAATATGAACCTCCAGAATGTTCTTTGAGAATGACCACTCAGTGCATTTAAGTACACAAATAAAGCTCTATGTAAAAGACTGTACACTGTAAATATTGTATTGTACCTGCTCTCTAACTTAGCAACACTCTATTAGTGACTACTCCACATCAATGCATGTATCTCCACTGGATTGTGTTTAATGGACATATATCATACAACTTTATGGATTACCGTGGCTTATTGATTTAGCTGTATTCCTGAAAGTCTAAAAAAGGACATTGCTTGGGTTCTGTCTCTCTAGGGGTTACATTTGCTCAACCGGAGTCAATCATTAAGACCTCAAGCAGTAACCCTAAATGAAGAACATTGGAATCATCAGTTTGGATGCACAGATGAAAACTTGCCAGGACTTAAGGCTTGAAGTGACCAGAATCTAGAACTCTTTACCTTCTAGAAAGTGAGGCCCTGTCAACTAACTACTGGTGGCATCTAGAATCCTGAGTCCTGGGGTTCTGTTACTGTCCATGAGGGTGGCAGTGGGGATTTATGAGTCATCTGCAATATTTCAAAAAGCTAAATGGAAAAACACACACGGACTAAGCCAGAACTCTGATGTCTTTGCTTCGGGGGTTGGAATTTTATCAGCTCTGTGTGGCGGCACAGCGAGTTCTCTGGCTGGCAGTTTTGAGATGCCCTGGATAAATAAAGCCCAGGAATGGAAATGGTTACTTAATATACACAGTTTGTTGAATAGACAAAAAAATCTTTCAGATATGGGATCCCCAGGAAGAAGCATAGAAAGAGGTGTTTGAATGGTGGGTGGCACAAGCTGCCGCAGAAGATGGTAGTGAAGAGCTGGTTTGCAATGTGGTTAGTTGCACTTATGAATACACCCAATGGGACTGGCTCTGGAGTTTGAAATGCGGCTGTCTCCATGTGGCCATTTTGACAACAGGACTTTCCACGTGCAAAGAACAACAGGTCATTTTGAAGAATACCAGAAACTATTGAAGTTGTTGGTGCACCTACTGTGACTTCAAAAGGAAGGTGTAGACCTCTGTCTCCCTAAAATGATCGAAAGAAAACAAAATGGAAAATGGGGGTGTGTTGAGTTCATCAGCTATAACCATTAGGCAATTATTTAAGTCTCCTTGATCTTCTCTGTACTTTTCAAAAGGCCATAGGTTGAAAAGACCATGTCAGAACCACAGACTTGGAATTTGACCTCTTTTATCATGGGCTTTAGGAACAAGGCAGAGTTTGAATTCTAGCCCTATAAAATATCCTTGAGCTAATTATTTAACCCCTCCAAGTGTTAGATTCTTCATATACAGAATAAGGGAGATTAAAAATCTCGTTCAATTACAAACACACTTCATTAGCACACTTTATTCTATTTTGGGTGTGTACACAACTCTAAGCATCTAGAGAGAGATGAAGGAACAGTGTCTAGCACAGACTCAGTAGGGAGGTAATAAAAATTAGTTTCCTCTCCCCTTCCCTGGGTGAAAGGATTCTGTAAAGATGCAGAAAATGTTTAAAAGGTATTATTTTTATTTTTGTGAACACAAGCAAGAAAAACTAAAACAGCCAGATAAATTAAGGGAAGGAGGGTGAGTGCATATATTTCCTGGTTCATGAATGTGTATGAGACTGTGGCCTGATATTAACCCCATACTCCAAAGCCAGTCCCATTAGGTACATTCATAAATGCATCTAACCGTTCAGTGCCCACACAATAAATGTGTAAATTCAGTTACCTTGCTGATTATGCGCCCATTTGCAAGCATACCCTCCTCTGAAAAACTTGGCACTAGAAATATAGCCAATAATAAAATTGTCTAAATAGGTAATATTTCTTGCTTACTTACTGACAGTCGGTAAGGTTTTTAATTCCAAGCCTGTGAACCACGGCGGGTCCTCTCAGAGCCTGCAGCAGTGTTTAAACTCAATAGTTGAAAGTAAAAGCTATGCCACTAGATAATGACATCAATTAAATAATTTTTATTCAGAAGTCAGAAGCAATAACTCGTATTTCGGCCTACCTCTTTTCCGGCTGTTAGATAGATGTAGATGTTCTTCCTGGGATCTGGAACGAGTTTATAGAAAACAGGTGTCTCTTCTTTAATTTCATAGATAACCTCCGGACAATTTGAAGTCAAATTCTCACCAAGAATAACCTTTTTTAAAAAAAAAAAAAAAGAAAAATACAATTTCTATTAGGCATTTGGAAGATCAGGGTGTAAAACCTATAGCTTAATTCTCAAACCACAGTCTTCTTACCCACTATGCATGCTGGGTAAGGTACCACCTTCCTGCATCATATCCAGTGGTCTTGGTCTTCAGTAAAGCTGGCAGTAACAAGAACAGCATATCTACAACGTCACCCCAAACTAACAAACAAAAAAAGTCACTCTTCAATGTCAGATCAGCATTCTCACCTGTGGAAACTTGTCCACAATTTCTGAGCACATGGACCTATCATAAGCCATGTGTGACAGTTTCATAAATATCGTGCCAAGAGTAAGCTTGAAACTAAAGGCAGCAGCTCCTTAATATACGTTTGCATGGGTAGCTGATTTTCTTACATGATGCTACCTAGCCATGCATTTTAAAGTAACACAGACAACTTAGCAGGTATAGACGAGTAGATGTGTTTACATACAAAATATAAACAAGTGTGAGTCAGCATTCAGTGGCTACAAAGTTGGACACCTGAGCTTCACTCATCTTCAGTCCACAAACATCTAGTGAACACCCATCGTGTAAAAGGCACGCTCCAGGGTGTTTGGAAAATGGCAGCTAATGAAATGGGGCAGGGGGAGTGATTCTGCCTTCAGAACTTACCTTCACATGCGTGTGTGTGTGTGTGTGTGTGTGTGTGCGTGCGCGTGTGTGCACGTGTGTGTAAGGGAGTGGCAGCAGACAATTAACAATGAAAGAGTAAACTATAAGCATACAGAAGGTGGGAATGGACTAGGTTAAATGAAGTGGGGAAAGGAGCTGGAGGATGCGTGCTCAGGGTAGGTCCTCTGGAAATGGTGACATTTTGAGATAAACTTGCAGGAGGTAAAGGAGAGGGGTCATTCCGTTGTCTAGATCAAACATGTTTTTAAAAGAGGCCCTGCCAGTGCAAAGGCCCTAAATGGAAGGAGGCCGGGGTGGCTTGAGTGGAGTGAGGTGGAGAGGAGTGAGTGGTGAGTAGTGAGGTCATGGGGTGGATACTATGGAGTCTTGTAGGTCTATGAAAAGATTTTGCCTTTTGCTCTAGGTGGGAGGGAGGAAGCCATAGCAGGGCTTTAATGAGAGGCGCAACATGGTGACAAGTCAGGGTCTGAAACATGGGTCAGAAGACCAATTGGAAGAGCATTATCATAATCGAGAGAAATATAATGGTAGTTTGGTTTTGGGTTTACATCCTGGTTTTACCCTGTACCTATCTGTGCTACTTTGAACTAGTAACTTACTTAACATCCCTGGGCCTCAATCTCCTTGTTTCTAATGGGACTAATGATGCCTTCCTTATTATTAGTATTCTAGTCAGCTTTTTCTCCGCTGTGACTAAAAGAACCCAACCAGCAGAACTGTAGAGGAGGAAAAGTTTATTTGGGGACTCATGGTGAGGCAGCAGGCTCCATTCCTTGGGGCTCAAGGTGAGGCAGAACATCATGGCGGAGTGTGGCAGAGGGAAGAAGTTCGTATGATGATCAGAAAGCAGAAAGAGACTCTCTCCAGATACAAAATATATACCCCATAGCCATGTTCCCAGTGAACTACTTTCTCCAGCCACACCTTACCTGCCTCAAACTACCACTCAGTTAATCCTACCAGGGATTAATATAGTGGTTAGGTTAAGGATATAACACAATCATTTCTCCTCCAAAACTTGCACTGTCTCACACATGAGCTTTTTAGGGACACCTCTTTTATTATAAAAGAGATTTTATAAGAGTCAAATAAGAAGTATGAAAGATGCTTAGTACATCATCAATACTCAATAGATGATAATTTGTTACCAGATTGCAGGCTCCCCTTGGGTAGGGACCATATCTTAATCATCTATCCCTTCACTTGATACATACTGTGAAAAATGAAAGTATCATCGTTCTGCCAGACAGAACACATCTGGATATATTATATATATTCACACTTCTACCACTGTGGGTACATGGCTTGGGAAAAAAAAATGGCACCTGAGACTGTTTTCAGAGAAAGTTACTTTTAATGACAAAGCTACATCTATAGATCAATGCAATACCTATAGGTAAATATCCTGATGGCAACTAGGTATCTGCTGTATAGTTACAGGCTTCTTATCAGCTGGGCATGTGGAACATCTCCCTGTACTTGTTCCTGAGACTGGATTTGTCCTGTGATCAATAATTTCATTTGATCATGTGCTTGGGTCAAGCCAGTGCGACTAATCCAATGGACCGCTCACCAAATTCAGTAGCAGCTCTGCGAGAGTCAATGTACCAAATATATTAAATATGACTTTTTTTAATATTTATTTTTTAGTTTTTGGCGGACACAACATCTTTGGTTTTTTTTTTTTTTTTTTGTATGTGGTGCTGAGGATCAAACCCGGGCCGCATGCATGCCAGGCGAGCGCGCTCCCGCTTGAGCCACATCCCCAGCCCCATATTAAATATGACTTTAAAAAATCTCTTCCTTAAACAGATACAGTTATGTCCCAAGGCAAGTAGGAAAGGTCTGTGCTTCATTTTTAAATGACTCTATAGTTGCATGATTTAATATACTAGCCACTAAGTACATATGGCTATCTAAATTAAATTAAAAATTCAACTGCTGAGTCACTCTAGCCATATTCCAAGTGCTCACTAGCCACATCTGAATGGAACCATGGGGTGGACAGGCCCCACCAAGGTGTAGGTTTGCCAGGACTTGCCATCTCTGATTCATAAATCTATAAATCTAAATTCCAACAGCTAATTTGGTTCTGGAAAGTAGTTATTTAGAAGAGGAAAACTAGGAAGTCCTTTTTTTTTAATAAAGAAAAGATTGGTAGAATTATTCCCAAGTAAGGCTTAAAAGAGGCTGCTGCCCTGGTACCTTCAGACTCATTCCATCAAAAGCATAATTCAACAGCATAATCTATGCTCCATTCTTGCCAATAAAGGGGAAATGGAGTCCAATCAAACCTCTAGGTCTCACTCTCACTTAGCACTAGGGATAGAGTGAGTTGAAGAATAAGCTAAATGACACCATGAGGAAGCAGAAAGCCAAACTCACAGTGCGAGGTTGGTAGGATACAGAACCTGTTTTTTTTTAGCAATAAAACTAAGGGAGGAAGCTGCTTTGCTAAGAAACCTGGACCACCAAAAATGGCTCAGACATCAATTTGAATAAAAGAATTTTAGGTACATTTTTGAGCCAATTGTGAAGATTTGTTTATATGAACTGGATGACAGATAATCCTAAGGAATTACCAATAATTTTGTCAATTATGAGGATGGCATTATGATTACAGTTATCTAAGAAAGTGACCATAATTTTTTAGAGATGTGTGATGAAATACAGTGAGATAAAATAAATGACAAGAGTCTGGCATTTGCTTTAAAAATAAGAAAGAAAATTTAAAAAATAATACAAAACAGCACCACTTGTCCATTTTCAGTGGATTAGGAGCACTGAGGATTTTTTGGGGGGAGGGGGGGTCATTTAATTTACTCTTGCAGCATGGTTAATATAGATGGGGGTGGTTGATTTTTTTACTTGATACCTTGGAGATGAGGCACCAGCATGCTCTCTAGAACCCTGAATTAGAGCAGGGAAACATTTCTTTCTCACTTTGGTTTTTAAGTTACCCACTGGTTTCCTGAACAAACTATTTGGCAAGACCTGCACCGAAGCCTGTCCTGCTAACTACAGAAGCAGTACACTGTCACACGTGGTGTAAGTGGAACCCTTCTGGAAGGCAATCTGGCATTGTGTGTCAAAATTATAAAGCCCGTTGCCTTGGACCCTGCAGTCCCTCATATATGCGAAATCTCATATGTTCATTGCAGAATCATGTGTTAGAAACAAGACTGAAACTATCTAAATGTCCAGCAACTGGGAATTGGCTAAGTAAACTGTACTATAAACAGTGGACTACCATTCAGCTGTCAAAATAATTAGAAGGTTCTTTATGTAAAATATATTATGTTTAACATATTAGATATGCCTATATGTAAATACAAATAGATATATACACACATATATTGTATGTGTGTTTAACATGTTTCATAAAAGAGGGGGAGGGGAAAGAATCTCTTCTCCTTTTTGCTTGTAGACATCACCTCTCCCTGAAAAGGTACCCATGAAACCACCATCACTGGTCACCTTGGAAGTTAGGAGCAAGTGACTTTCACTGTATACTTTCTGTTGCTTTTGACTCTTGAACAATGTCAATGTCTTACCTTAAGAAATAAAAACATAAAATTTCAATTAAAAAAACGTTCGAGGATGAGTGGGTCAAATTGCTTTTCTTTTTGCTAGATGATGCTAAGAATGAGCTCCATCACTCTGGGGACAGGACAAGAGGAGATTTTCATCTTCATCCCAAGGGTCTAAAAGGTGCTAACAGGAAAGGTGGGGGCCGTGCTGCCAGGGACAGGTCAGGCTTCTGTTAGCATCATCTCCCACGCAGCCGGGCCCAGCCCAGGACACCAATGGAACGCTTGGACTTTCTAACTGTAAGATTCACGAGCACATCCACAGAGAGAAGGAAGCCAAGACTGTTGAACAAGGGAGACATTCCTCCGTTAGCCTGGTTTAGCCACGGCCTTGGAAAAAGAATGATCAGTAAAGTGGTACAGGCAGGAACCGTGAGTCACAGGAACCTAAAATGGGTTGAATTTTGCATAAGAGAAAGCTCATCCAATCCACACAGACTCCCCAGGCACGATGTGGATTTTTATTTATTGCTTGCAGCACACGACCTTAATATAGATCTAATCTGAAGTCACTCTGAGCCTCCTCCATATATATTCTTACATCCTCCTTCGTCCTTCAAACATCACCTCCTCTGAGAAGCTTTCCCTGATGGCCTCTCTACTGTGCCCTGTTGTCACTCGCTTGCCATCATGCTGTACCTTCTGAGCATTGATCTCTATCTGAAATGACTTTATCACTAGGTAATTAATTGACTTGTTTTCCATCTTTTTCTCCCCCCACC